AAGGGGCCCCTGGGATAAAGCCCACCTCCCAGGTTTGGCCACAGATCAGCTCTGTGCTCTGGGGAACTGCACAGCCCAGCAGCAGGATCCTCTTTCTCTGCCCTCCCCCGCACAGAGGAGGCCCCTTTCCCCTCCCCTCCAACAGTCAGGAAGGAAGCCCAGCTGGACTTCGGGGAGGGGGGAGAGGCAGGGAGCAGGTTTTTTCCCCAAAGAGGCGAGGTGGCTGCCCCATGGAGCCCCCTCCAGGGCTCTGGGGCAGCCTTACCCCTCCCTTTCAGCGGGCTGAAGGCTCCAGTCTGGATGCCGCTACTCCAAAACACACTCCAGAGCCTGCAGGGAGGAAACTAGTTCCCTTGAGACCCCAGGCCCACAGAGGGTCCCAAACTGGAGAACACACAAGCCCCCCAGAAGAGGAAAAGATCCCCCTTTTAGAGCAGGAAGTCTGAGGATGGGAATTATGGGCCAGGCTGGCCTCTGGCCCCTCCAGGCTGGTTCTTGCAGGGTCAGACAGACCTTGGCTGTTTATCCAAAGCGCAGGCCGACTCGGAAGCCCATTTTCCTATCAACCACTTCACTTCTGCTTGGCCGCCATGGGGGCTTTCTCGCCCATCAAGGACCCCCAAGCCAGGCACTCCCATGCTCAGAGGGAAGGCCTCAAGTCCTAGCGGTGGCCAGATGGTTCTGCTGCTTGCCCGTCTCTTTCGTAAAAGCGATGCTTCTAGAACCGGATCCTCCACGCGCCGCACTTGGTCTTAGCTAAAACACCGAAGCCAACCCTGCCTTTACCTCCAAACGCATCCCTGGCTTGCACTGGTGAATACACGCGCACAGTTCCACTTACAGCCAAAGTAAGAGACTCAGATCCATCACACACAGCACAAAGAGCCTTTTCCTTCCCTACCAAGGGTCTCCCACATTCAGCTGTTCTGCCCAGAAATGGGTGGCCTTTACTTTTAGCACACCACCCCTTCAAGTAACTGGCTGTGCTTCACTTTCTGGCAGGCGTACGGAAATTAGGCTTTTCACAATGGCTTCTGGGGAGCATTCAGCCCTCTTCTGATTTAGAAGCGAGTATGCTCCCTTGCTGATGAACAGCTAGCGTCCCCAAAACAGGAGTGGATTTGTTTTTTTGACCCAGGAACCATGAGTCCGATCCTGCCTTTGAGGCAGGCAAACTGAAAACCCACCTCCACAACGGGAGGCAGAAGACATCCCCGTTGCGCTCAAGAAACCCTAGTTCAACCCTTGGCTTGATCAAAGCAGGAAGAGCCCCCAAACCAACCCCAGCAAGGCTTCCTTCATTTGCCTCTGAGTGAGGGTGGCTAGACAGAAGGGGTGTCCCACCCAGAATCTGCCCCCCAAGTCCCTTGACCCTGAGCCACCTGTTTGGCCACTCGGAGAAGAGGCTGCCAGGAGATAATTTACAGCGCTGGGAAGGAAGCTATGCGAGGCCTTACCTTAGACCACAGTAATACCAGAGCAAGCAAGCCGTACCACGCTAAACAATGGTTTTGAGTAAGCCACAATTTGCAGAGTTCACCCACTGAATAAGCCGCGTTACAGCCCAGTGCAGTGTTCCAAGTCCACGGGCGATTGTCTCGAATGCCAACAAATCCAGACGTAACATCCTTGTGACTCTCACAGCACCCACGGGGACAAATACTCCTTGCAACTGCCCCAGCCCGGTCCCTGGAAAAGCCACTCTTCCCCCCCCCACTTCGCTGACTGACATTTCCATGCTTCTGGTGAGGTCCCCTGGAGCTCTCCAGGTGCCAGTGGAGAAAGCTGGGCCCTGATTCTGAGAAA